ACAAATAATTTAATTTTCAGAACTATATCCTCAGTGCTACAAAATTGGCCTCCGATGTGGTATATTGTGGCGGTAGAGCGAGAATTAATCTCTCAAAATACGATCGTCAAAGTACGAATCCTTACATTTACTGATTATTGTTAAATATTTATTTTTTTATATTTTTTGCTCATGCCTTTTTATTTTACGAAATAAAAAAATGACAGAACATGATAAACTCTTCATAAAATGCAAACATATTAATTTTTAATAGCGTTACTACATTGTTATTTTTTAATGCGGTATTATTATTAGTGAAATAACTTTTCAAAAAAATTACAAAATGGACTAAGAGATTTAAAAAATGTACTACCATATATAAATATATAATTATATATATAATTTTAGTTTTTAAATATAATATCTTTAAACAGAATATCAGCCAAGAATTAACTACCGGTAAGATAAAAAACATATCAGAGGAAGAGGCTCTTTTAATACCGGAAGTTTCACAGCAGATTTATGATGAGATGACAGTGGATTTAAATATCGATCCTGTGTACATTATTGATCGAATACATTGGCATTTGGGCTTGCCATTTCGAGATGTTGTGGATGTAATTATAAAAGAATACAAAGCAGCGCGAAATCTACATCCAGTGAAAATAATCGTCCTTGGCCCGCCGGCATCTGGAAAAACCATAGTCGCTCGATATCTTGCCAATTATTACGGAATACATTACGTTCATGTGAAAATATTGATCTCTAATACAATTCAAAAATTGGTAAGTCTGTATTTATTCACAGAAAAATCAATTGTTGTTAATATCAGCAATTCTAAGATCGACGATATCGAAGTTGCGGAAGCAAGTTTACGACGACAAGATGACCTGAGAGACACAGCAGAAAACGCTGATGGCAAGGATAAAGAGGCTCAAGAAGAACAGATAGAAAACAAAAAAGAGGTCATTGTAAGTCTAGCAAAGTTGCAAGAACAGCTTGACGAGATCCGGTCCAACATGGCAGCGAATAATGGTCGTCTCGACGATATTGTTTTGAACAAGTTATTAAACATTTACATACTAGTTTTTCACGAATTCCCCTACTTTCTCATTCAAAGTCAGCTTCACAAACGTTTATCCGTACGTTCAGTATGAAAGCACTGCTCACGTCATTAACCGCTTCATTTCCCACGTTGCGGTACTGTAATCACATCGATGCCAAAATGTTATCAGATTCATCACATAATGGCGCAATAGTGCAGTTAGCGTTAAAAGCCAAAATGGGGTATGCTTTCTCCGAAAATGCTAAATGCATGAAAACCGAATGCGTTCACATGCTCGTATAGTTTATGTGGATTTATGTTCCATTCGGATCGATACATCGACTATGCGCGTACGATAAGCGACGTACAAATCCGTATTAAAATGGGCATGCTTTCTTTTATATTTTCTCGGCATTTTCCCAGAGTTTAGCAAACTACTAGAATATACGAGGCTTTTCATGTATCATGCATATGCGATGCTCCCACCTATATTCTTGCCAGATAAGATTGGTGTATTCTTACATCAAAGTTTCAATGCAAAACTTACAACGCCGTAATAAAACAAGTTTCATTACAAACAAGTTACATCGCAGGTCACAAATCTCGCCTGCTTTGCTTTATCAATTTTATAGACTGAATATAATATACAACACAAGAAAATAATACGCTGAATCGCTTATTTCGAAATTATATATTCAAATTCAGAATAAAAAAATGCTAAATTCTGACAAAAATTTTCAAAGCATTAAATTTAATCACTTTTAAAATTTATCTGTAAATTTTAAACAATATAATTAGTTAATGTGTTATTAAAATACACATAGTAAATATTTTGTATTGTTTGAATAATAATAACAGGAATATTAATTGACATGAAAGGTTGTTTCTAAGCCGGTTAAATTCGAAGGACTGTTTGAACCAAGGATACGTGATGGATGGGTATCCAAAGACCCTTGAACAAGCTAAGAATCTATTTCTGGTTAGCGAGGAAAGTTTAGAAAAAATCGAAGAGGAATTCGAGGACAAAAATATCAAAGTTACAACCGCTAACATAACGATTCTACCGGAATTGGTCGTAGTTTTGGAAGCGAGCGATGAGTTTTTGAAGGAACGAATTATAAACCGCCCAGAAAGAGAAATACAAAACACGCATTATACAGAAGAGCACATGATACGACGCATGAGAAAATATAGGTATATTTATATGATTTTTTATAACATCGAGATAAAAAAGTACCTTTGAAAAATATTTTAACTCACGGGAAATATTATAGCTCATTTATATCATAATAATTTTGATGAGTAAATCGATACTGAGACTGCAGGTGAGATTGGAAGACATTAAAGTTCGATGTAAAATAAAATATAATAATAAGAAAATAAAATGTATTGTAACAATTATAAAAATTATATAACAGTTATTACTTTATATCTTAAATCCCGAGTAGTAATTTTAATTCGATAAAAACTTCTCAACCTTTAACTAAAACATTTTATATCTCATTCATATTTATTCCTTGCAAATTAATTGCACATTTAAGTAAAATAAATATTATCATCAATATGAACATTCTTTAATATTCCATATTTACCAAACAAACAAGTAAAATCGTAAAAATTTGGTTTGTATAAATAAGAGTTTATTAAAACGCAGAAGTTTATTTATATGGAAGTTGTTATAACAAATATATTAGAACAATATTCTAGAGAGAGAAATACGGACGATAATACGCCGCTGCAATTATTCGACGAAATGGAAATCCATCCACTCGTCATCTCGGTGGAAACTGACACTTGTCCGGATATGCTCCCCACGATTTATCGGTGCCTGGAAAAACTCGGAAAACCAAGAAATTACGGTGCGCGATAATTTATATTCTCTCCCGCGATTTTATGTCATCTCAACTTTTTACTTTACGATACGCGCATCAACGTCCTCTATTCGTTTAGAATGTTATTGCGCATGTCCTATTATCCTGCGCCCATTATTCCTGCCATTTCTAATCTGGCGAAAAGATAAATGTCATAAGATGATATCTTCTATTTTTCACGGTAAAATTTATTAAAGCAGACTTATTTTCTGATATATAAAACCGTTGAATCATAAGATAAAAACTTTCTTCAAAGTAATAATTTCTGAAACAGTGGCCTCCATTTTTAATATGCTTGTATCTTTTCTTAGCTAAAGGACGATCCTTTCGCTGCTGGTCAATCTTAGTTCATTATACGGTTTTTTTTCCTTTGTTCACATCGTAATTATAGCTGCAAAAAGAAAGAGAGGACATTTACATTCAATGAACTTTAAATGATATTGAAAGACTTAGCTTTTGTGTCGATATAATAAAATGATATCTAAATTATTTTTATTGATTTAATCGTAATGATAAAAAAGCTTTCGTAATTTGAGTTTTCATAAAAATTATTATATTATTTAAATTATTATGTTAAATTATTATTATGTTATCGTAATAAATTATTATCTATCGTAATTTTATTTATTGTATTAGTTTTTGAAATTGCAACATTAAAATATCTTTTGTTTTGATTAGGACCAACAGCCGAAGAAATAGAAGCTGCACAAAGACGCACTGAAGCAGAAACACAAGCTGCTATAGTTGCAGAAAAATTACGAAAGGAGCAAGAAATTTTGAAATATAAAAGGGAACGTGAAGAGAAAATGATGGAATGGGTTTGTACATTTTTTCCATAAAAATTAACTAGATTTTACTTCAAGAACTAAACGTATTTTAATCTATCTTACATTTTCTCTAAATATTTACATACAGTGAAATATCAAATTAATGCAATATAGGCAGCCAATATATTAATTAATTCTCAAATTTATACCAACATTTTAACATTAATTTTGTCGAAATGTACAGGTTATTAATTCACACATCAAATCAATTCAATAATTATTTAAATTACAGAACTAAAGTTCCTTTAAAGTTTATGAATAGATGTAATAAATTAAAGTCATTAAATATAAAATAAATTTACGTTTGCAGTAACTAATTGGATATAACTCATATAACGTAGTCTACATATTAGTTATTTTTTCGTTTCTGTTTTTTATACTGTTGCTATATAGACGCGTTGCTATATAGATGTGTCTATTACAGGCGAGCTTTAATCTATCCAACGTAATCATAAGAGCAGTTATCAAGTTTTTGCTTAGCTGGGCGTAATTCTAGAAACAGATATTCGGACAAATATTCAGCTTTTTTTTCAATCATGAATCGTACCATCGGTTATAAATGCCGTACTTTTGATGCCAGTAAAATTTATGTCCGCATATCGACGAATATTTCTATTAGCCCAATATTTCCAATATTTCTGTTAGACGTTCGCTATGTACATGTTGTGTCATTTTACACACCCGCGTGAAGTTTTCAGATCTGGAAATTACTTTTAAAAGACGAATTAGTACCTCGTAAGCGGATCTGAGGATTAAATAAACCAGACAAGTTGAAGCGCTCGCTTGCAATATTAATCTGTTTTTTTACACGTGTCTGAAAAAGTTACGCGACTGACCAGGATTAGTCGCGTTAGAAGTTTACGGAACTTTTTTGCATACGGAGCTTGTAGCTGCATTAGCAGCTTAAGCTACCGGCAAATGCAAATGCGTATCGATCACGGTTGGCTGCTCGTAAAATGGATTCTTTTGTACACGTAGAATCATAGTTATACAACGGTAATCATTCGACTAGAGCAAAACAAGAATAAAGAATGAATTTCTGAAATATTATATAATACAATTATTTCTTAGACTTTTTTTCCCGTATTGATTATCATTCTAAAATATCTACTTTAAATACGAAGTCACAATCATGGCTTATTATATTTTTTTTTATTTATTATGATTATTTTATGTAAAACAGAATTTTTTTAAAAAGTGTCATCAAGTTGATATGTTTAATCTCGAATTTCTTTGATTATCAATCATATAAATTATATAAATCGCATGGCAGATAAAGCTTTGTCTTTTCCAGACAAACTTGAGGGAAAAATTGAAACAAGAGGAGGAGCACAGACTTTGTATCTTGGCAGAACCATTACGGCAGTACTTAGTGAAGTATATTTTTTCAACATTGACGGAAGCTTTGATAGAAGTGGCAAAATTACGACCGGAGGATCCAATAGATTTTCTCGTTAGTATACCATCATTTGTTAACTTTTATTTTATATATATATTTATATATTTCGCAGAATATTCAGAATAGAAT